GCTATCTCTGTATGTGGTGTGCGCGCTACACTGTATGTGACATGTATGTGCTTCAAGCGTTTTCACAACGTCATCATTACTCCCGGGCTGACCTGTTTGTGGTTGAAACCCTGGTTCAAACTCTCCTCTCGTCAGTCCTTGTTGTTCACACCTCATGATACCTTTGCCTGGCTCTAGTCCTTTGCTCCCACTTCCAACAACTGGATTCTCGGACTCCTTACCCCCGATCAACCGCTGATCATTAACCCCATGATCGTACCCAGAAATCCCTGCTGCTAACTCGACCTTTCTCCCTCGTGCAGGTTGCGAGGCAGAAAGGAGCTGTCCCTATTCCAGCTCTTTGAAAGAGGGCATGGGCTCTTTGAGAGTCACGGCCTTCTGGTAGATGTCCTCTGTCAAAGGCATAACTTGATGCCCAGCACTTGAACGTTCGAGAGGAACCAGACGTGACGAGTCCACATGCCGGAAAACTGCTAAGTCGTTCTCAAAATCAATCACTGCACCTAACTGCCTAAGTGAATGAATTGATAACAAAATAGGGGCAGATCCCTGGTCAAGAGCATGCACCTTCATAGATCCACACTTTCCCCCGAGCGGCACAGACAAACTGGCTGTGGAGACGCAGCGGTTTTTGCTGCTGTTTCCAAAACCGAACACTGGTCGCTCATTCAGATCCACTTGCTCTACCCCGGTCACTCCACGCTTTTTCTCATTCAACTCCGCCACTTGTGACAAGGCTGTAACTGAACCAATTGTCCTTGTTGCCCCGCCATCAATGACGGCTTTGCCCTGAGCAACCACCTCACTGGTAGAGAGCAGACACCTCTCCATGAGGTCTGAATTGGGGTCCGTAGTGTGGAAGCTAAGGCTCTGGACTGACTGCTGACTGGGAGACACATTCTCTGAGACATCCAAGTGTTCTGAGGCAAAAACCAACGGTGCTGACTCTGTAGCTACTTGAGACTGTTCAGTCTTTGGCTTCTCCTTGCACTCGGCTACTTTGTGAGGACCTCCGCAACGGAAGCACTGGACGGTGGTCTTTGGCCTAGACAGTTGCTTCCACATCCCTCCAGCGCCTTCCCGCGAGCCACCTCCGGACATTTGGGGCCTCGGGGGAAAGAACTGTCGGGACATTCGTACAGCATGCTGTCTGGCCCTTGCATCTCGCAAGGTCTTCTTGGCCTCCATCATGGCGGCCATGGCCCGTTGGGCGGCTTCCTCTTCCATCATCATCGCATGAATCTCTTCGGCAGAGAAACCCTCTGCTTCCAGATCCTCTGGTTCCACCTCCCCATAACACCCGGTGTCCTCCTCTGTGAGTTCTACATTGACATTGGCCATGTAGCGTCCCTTCTCGGCATCTCTCTTCTTGAGGTCATGATCGGACCAGTGCTTTCTCAAAACTTGTTCCACTTCTCGCACGCCAAAAGTGCCCTTGAGCTCAGCATGCAGGACGTTTCTTTCCATGACATCCAGCCCAGCATCCATGAAGAGGTACCATCCTTGCACAAAGTCTGGTAGAATTTCTGGTAACTGGTCACGACCCCATTCGCTGGTGTCTCGCATCGACTGAGAAGGCTCCCAGTCTGAGTGCCACCAGCCGTAGTAGCCACCTCCATGAGATCCGTCTCATCTTCTGGAGCCTGGGATGCGACATCCTCTCTGGGGCTCTCTGCACCGTCGGGACCAGTGTTGGCCGGTGCTTCGGATGCCGGTGCACTGGACCGGGCCACTGAAGGTGTTGGTGCAGTAGCCCGACTGGACATCGCGCCTCGGGAGGTGCCACTGAGGCCTTGTTCCTTCATGTACCTGGCCATGGACTGTTGTGCTCTGGTGTATGCCTCAGACTTCCGCAGGATGAAATCACCCATGGACTCCCCCCTGGCTCTCCGTGTGCCACGGAAATATTTCTGCAGCAGCTCCGACAACTCCGGAACCTTCGGCTGACCCCTCTCCTGACGCAAAGCCGCTACCAACCGACGGACACCTGACTCGTTTGATAACCAGTCAGCTGGCCGTCCGATCAGCACACGGCGAGCGGAACCCTTGAGTTCTGATGCCAGTCTGGGACCACACAGATAGCGTTTCTCCCTAGCCACTGTCTGTTCATAGAGCAGGCATGCTTCCACATACTCCTCAAACAACACAGCCTCCCCCGACCATGTTGGAACTCCATCTCGATTCCTTTGGATCGAGCTGGCGCCACCTGTCGACTCAGGACGGCCTGGCTGTCCTGAGTACCACACATCACTACACATCTTTGTCCTTCTTCACGAGCCACCTGGAGCCTGTGGCTCCGCTACCATGCAGGTAGCGCCACTTGAGTTTCTATGCTGGGATATGCCCGGCGTTTGTTTCCTTCAAGATTCGGAACCCTTTTACAGCAAACAAAGGAGAATCACCACTTTGTAGTAAGGCACGGCAGTAAAGCGGTGCTAGGAAATGCACACGGCGAATCAACCCTGGGACAACTGCTTTTGATCCACTAAAACTGGGTACGAGTGACATTTGCATATAATATGTATTTACTCTCTCTCTCTATATATATGTGTGTGTGTATACACATTTGTATACATTTGTTTAATCATTCTGGATGATTTTCGGTGATGCTTGGTTGTGTTGGGGTTTCCAGCAACTTTCTGCACGCCTCTCTATTGTTATTTGAGGGGAACAAACAAATGATGAAACTCAACGGCCCCAAAGAAGTGTCCGGTGCAAACACGTTGTGCAATGTTTTTGTTGCAGCTTAGCTTGCATATTCCGGTGGGACACTTGCAGTTAGCATACGCTGTACTGTACCGGCAATTTCATACAACTCCCAAAATGTCCACAGTTTGACTGCTTCAATGTAGGAACAAAACCCAATTTGGCTATGGATCAATACCTCTAAGTACCAGAGGGGATAAACATCTATTTAATTGTATCCATAAATCACAGCTATTTCGATGATATGATATGAAACAGCTGGGGATACGTTCAGCCCCATCCTCAGGGAGATGAGGTGCGTCGGCGGGGCGGCAACGGGGGATCATCCTTTCAAAATACAGGAGGATCATCCCGCATTTAGAGAGTTTCTGCTTAATGACTCCATAAAGAAGTCCCCTAAGTAGCTTATATATATATATGTTGGTTATAAGTTATAACCCCAAATAGTCAACTAGAAAGAAGTTTTTTTGAGTGGGGCAATCGTCCAAGAAATATGAACTCAGCAGCCCTAGACACCATGGTGGATGGGGATGGGATCATTGACCTCACGATATCACTGGAATGGTCAATGGTCAGGAAATCTTCCCATGGCTTTCAGAGATTTTCGGTTGGTGAACTACAATATACTACAATATGCTACAATTAGTCACAATCATCCCAAAGCATTACCTTAATTCACGAGTTATTTCATTATCTTGTGGTTACCTATAGCTGTAATCATAACGATTTATGCATTTCAATTCAGCCTGAAATGCTGTGCACAAGGCGGGACTGGCCTCCACGCAACTGGGAGCCGCCATACCGCCCACGCCCAGTCGCAGTATGACGCCAGGATTTTCGCAACGGGATGCGGCGTGGATGGTTGCGAAATCCTGCACCTGGGATGGTTGAAACCCTATGAACAATGATGTAAAAAGCACCGTTTTTTCAACTGGTGCAGGATTTCGCAACTATCCACCGTAGGAATGGACTGCATAGGAGGATGGGCTGGGATGTTTGGGATGGGACTTCTGGATTCAACAGAGGATGTCCATTTGCAGATGCTTCTTATATAAGAAGGGGAAGGATGACACAACAGTGGGTAGATAACCCTCAGAAACATGAGAATTGACCAACAGGGGATATATTGGGGATAATCAGAAGGGTATTTTGGGTGATCGTCCATAAACCATTAAGTCATTGAGTACGTTTGGGTTTTACAAACAAAGGAGAGAAGATGCTATAGGTTGGGGGACCGCTGCCACAAAGGTTCGTATGGACAGGCTGGAGGGAGCTGATGATGTGTGAATCTTCAGGCGTTTCAAACTGTAAAATCCGTACCGCAGAGCATGATCATGCTATTTGAATTGCGGGAAGCTCAAGGATTCCCTGAGATATTTCGGCAGTATGTAAGTCTAGTGGCTGTCCTACTTCTAAGGAAGATGCCTGATGCCTCCAAGTTCGTGCCACTTGGTCACCGCTGGAGACGTTTGCACAGCCTTTGGATCTCACTTTCTTTCCATGGTCATGTGTACCAAGTTTTCTTCCTGTAAACTTGGTAGATTCCCGTTCTTTTTGCATTTTGGTCGGTATAGAATGAGTCAGTCCTTTTTATTGTGCATATATTTGCTCTGAGGAAAGTCGTGACGCGTGTATTTGAATTTATAGAATATATCATATTGTATTTTAACTTGCAACAAATAATAGTTAACATAATATTATATATATACAATTGAATTTAATGTATAATATATAGAATATACAATGTACTATTGATAATGTATTTTGTATAATGCATAATTCATAGTACATAATATAGATAGTACCTAATACAGATAATATATAATTATATAATATATGAATATATATGATATATGATATATGATATATATATATATTATATTATATTATTATGATTTTTATAATGTTTATATATATATATATTTAATATAATATATATATATATAATATGATAGATGATGTATAATGTATAATCAATAGTATAACTGAACATAAATAATACATATATATATATATACATATATGACATGTACTATTTATGATAATTTATTTACTGTTATATATATGATATTAATATATAGCAGATATTGTAAATGCATAATGTAATTTGATCATATCATGAATATTCATATACATGTTATATGCACATTAAATATATGATACACTATATATATATATATGTCATATGCATACACTGAATATACATGTCTATTTTCACATGTATGCACACTATAAATAACTTGAGCCAAATGTCCCAGTTGTGTTTGGACACTTCAGCTTGAATTCAGCCAGTTATGACATCAATCCTACCTGCTCCTAGGAAATTCTTCGAGCATACGAATGGTGCTGATGCTACTTCCCACAAAAGGGCCAACGGCCGACGTTGGACCGTTGTGGCCAATCAGGTGCGAAGCGTCGTGCGGTGCATGCGTTTTGGAGACGGGGGATAGTCCAATTTAATTATTTATTCAGATTTATTCGATCTATTGTCAATTTCTGTTCCAAGCTGTGTTCTGTCTTGTGCTACCTCGGGAAAGAGTCGGGGCACTTGTGCCAACACACCAGATTCTACTGGACCATCCACAGCACAAGTTGGTTGTGATTTCAGTTAGGCTTCAGGATCCCTAGGTCAATCTCTAAAGGAGGATCCCTTCCCCGGCCCTGTGAGACTTTCGTGTTTATTTCATTTTTGGGCAAAGCCAAACAAGACGTCGAGAATCAGATGATGGGAACAGTTGGTTCGTATGAACTGACTTTTGTATTATTTTAATCTACATCCAAAAGTTACTATATGGTTAGTTGTATTCCGCATAGGGGACTGTAGTTCTACAGTCTATATTTATTGATAATCTAGATATTTATAGTTGTTACTAATGTCTTATACAAACAAATGTTGTATAAAACATTAGTAAACAACTATAAACATATATAGATATCTAGATTATCAATCTATGCATAATACAACTAACCATATAGTAGCTTTTGGATTTAGATTGAACGAATACGAAAGTCAGTCAATACAAAACAACTTAAGTCATTGCCCTTGATTTACTGGTAAAAACCATGGTTTTTCTTCAGGCATGTTCATATACATTTTCCCAAACAAACGGAGCAAAATTGAATGTGCCAACGTTTTTCGGGACATTTTCAGGTTCCCACTCTCGCAGCACCACCACCGCCGCCCAAAAACAACAGATTCTTGACAGCGGAGGGAGGTCAACGGTGGAGTGGTCTCCAGTGGGAAAATAAAGTTATGACGAAGGAAAAGGGAAGATTTCCAGCAAACCCAGGGGATTTATATTTTAACTTGTCCCGAGTAGATTTGGCCAAAGAACGCCTTCGAATATCGTTAGAAGCAGAACATGGTCGCAACACTTGCGGGAATTTGGATGGTGCAAAGAAAAGCATTGGGTGTCACCAAGAAAAAATATGAAAACATGATTATCTCGTTGGAAGAAACAATAAGAAACAGTTGTGTGAGTGGATTACGTTGTCTTCAGAATGTGGGGGTCTTCCTAATATCAACATATATCAACCTCAAACCAATCCATCTTTTTCCTTGAAATATGACCGCTGAGTCACAACTTGGATGATTTTGGGTTCTCAAGGCATGCGAGGCGACAAAGAGCGGAACCGGAACTCGGTGACGCTGGATGGCACCTTGGATGAGGGGCGGGAGATTTTGAGTAGCGCTGCCATCCTCAGATGGTGAATCAATGAATCAACACAGGGAGAAAAAGATAGCCAGTCTTTAACAAAAAAAACATACACATCTACCCATAGCTGTGGAAAACCCATGCTTTCTCCAGGAAGAGTTTGTTTACCAGAGGGTAACACAGAAAAAAATATTCACATCTAACCACTTCTGAACAGAAAAACGTGCCCCGCGGTTAAAGGCCTTCCTCATCGTGTAGCAACAGCGCCTGGTCGACACCGTCGTTCTGCAGCATGGCTGCATTTTTTAAAGGACAGATGGATAGAGCGATGCTCCCTCTCTCTCTCTCTCTCTCTCTAAGGGTTTCCATAAATGGGGGTATCATGGGGTACCCAATTTTTTTATTTTTTTTTTCTCCGCCTTTGACTTTAATGCTGTGTGGCAGCGGTAGAGACAACCAGCTACGCGAGATATCCCCACCAAAGTGTCAAAGTACCCAAAAATAATGGTTTATAATGGAAGATCATATTAAAATTGATGGTTTGGGGGTACCACCATTTTAGGAAACCCCCATATTTGAATCCATGGTGGTATTAGGTGGTCTTAGTATATACAATTATATAGGTACTTCTGTTTTCCATGGCCATGCAACCAATGACATAGGATTAGCATGTATTAGCATTGAGCATATGCCGTATTAATATAGTGCATATACATACGAATGTCATACATATATATATGTTGTAAATACACGAATGGCATATATATATATGTATACATATATATATATAAATATTTATATATATATATGACTGTATATGATTTGATAAGTATGTACAATTACTGTATAGTAGTGTCAGAGTTGTTGTTATTTCTTCGTGGACCAGCCAGATGAGGTGAGCATGCTCCGGTCCTTAATACTCCATGTTTTTTTGTTTCGGCATCGTGCAGCCTCTTGAGGTTTCCGAATTTGATGTCACGGTGTCCAACAACCTTGGGAGCAAACATGATGACACTGACAGTGATTCAGACGCCGAAATGGATGAGACAAGTAAAACATGGTCAGGCGGCTCTGCTCAAAGGGACTTGCCATGTAGACTTGAAAGAGTTTGTCTCCATTGAGCAATTTTCAGTCATGGGTCGTGTTTTCAACCTGTTTGGGCATCAGTTGCCCCCAAAATCATCCAAAATCGATGTTCTTATTAAAATCTTCAATTTTTGGCTACACTATCCTATATGGATCTATATAGAGGGGTTTCCACGAATTACCTCAAAATGGATGGTTTATAAGTTTTTAATGGAAAATCCTATTAAAATGGATGATTTGGGGGTACCCCTTTCATGGAAACCCTGATTGGACAAACCAATCTTTTTGTACTCCTCATTCTCAGCAGCGATGAGGTGCTGGGTTCAAATATCCCCGCTGGTAACATCTGGATGGTTATATCACAAACAAGAATTGAGATGTAACCAACGAAAACTGGAATTTAACTAAGACAAGTGGTGGTATACTATTTTTAAGTATCATTAATCATATAATAACCATATATTAACCATTATTAACAATATATTTACGTTAATAATAATGAATCATATAATAATGTTAACGTCAATATTAATAACCATCTAACAACATTATAATCATATATTATCAATGGCCATTCCAGGATCCTAAATTGGAGGTACCTACCATATATAGGGCCTATATAAGGCCTATTTTTGAGGCCTAAATTTCAGGGAATATCCCCACAAAATATGGCCTTATATGGTACTAACGTACCCCCAATTTAGGATCCTGGAATTCCCATTGATAACCATCAATAACCATTATGAACCATTATTAACCATTATTAACCATTAAATGGCTGGTGGGGATCTAATGAATATTAACCATATATTACTGGTGATCTAATGGGGATACATTTGGATGAATCGCGACACGGTGACGCCACTGGAATGATGGCTGGATCTCGTAGGGGTAACTACTTACTCCGAAATGGCCTTAATGTTTAGTGGGTTAAGAACATACATACATACATACATGCATGCATGCATACATACATACATGCATACGTACATACATACATACATACATACATACATTTATATACATATATACATGTATATATATATACACATACACACACATATATATTCACATATATACATATATATTTATATAAATATATACACATTCATACATACATTACATTACATTACATTGCATTACAATGCATTGCATTGCATTACATACGTATTTTGTATATTATACATTTATACATATACATGCATATATTTTGTTAATTACACAAATCTCTATATATGCATATGCATATATATTTACATGTATATATATATATATTATTTACAAATATATATACATATATATATATATGTATGTATGTATGTATATATATGTATGTATATATATTTTCTGTATGTATATACATATATATATATATATTTACACACACATATGTATATATGTACATATATGTATATATATATATAATACATATGTTATATATGCATATGTTTATATATACATATGTATATGTATATATATATATACATATGTATTTATATATACACATGTATATATATATATGCATATTTTACATATATACACATATATATACTTCAGGAGGAACAAAGTTTATGCTTCTTGAAAGCTTTACAAAGCATCCATCTCGGTCAACTGCGGATCACATTTTGGAGTCAGTTTTGTGTGGCAGGTGTGGGACGGTCAATCATCACCCTTTTTTAAAGATATATTTTTTTTAAGCTTTTGGGGGGTGGAAATGTGCCCGGTGTACGACAAAGCTCCATGCTAGGATTCTACGGGGAAAGGGTGTGCAGAAGAAGAAACCAAACATGTTCACTGTGGGAAGCTCAACAAGCGCAACTTTTGTCCTACCAGTGCGTCACGGCACATGTGTAGCAGTGCAGACAAAGAGGATGGAGACAGACATGTTATGTGGAGTAATGACCAAGCTGAAGCAGGTGCAAAAATCAGCAAACGACTTGTCAATTCCCACTAAACAATGCTTTTTGCACCCTGCGTCACGGCACATGTGTAGCAGTGCAGACAAAGAGGATGGAAAAAGACATGTTATGTGGAGTAATGACCAAGCTGAAGCAGGTGCAAAAATCAGCAAACGACTTGGCAATTCGCGCTAAATAAGCTTTTGGTACCCTTCAGGAGGAACAAAGTTTATGCTTCTTGAAAGCTTTACAAAGCATCCATCTCGGTCAACTGCGGATCACATTTTGGAGTCAGTTTTGTGTGGCAGGTGTGGGACGGTCAATTGTCACCCTCTTTTAAATATATATTTTTTTTAAGCTTTTGGGGGGTGGAAATGTGCCCGGGGTACGACAAAGCTCCATGCTAGGATTCTACGGGGAAAGGGTGTGCAGAAGAAGAAACCAAACATGTTCACTGTGGGAAGCTCAACAAGCGCAACTTTTGTCCTACCAGTGTATATGCTCATACATGAACACGGTTGTATTTGAATCTGATGTTTTTGACGTGCTTTTTCCAATCACAGGCATCATCATAGACCCCACAGACCGCAGATGTACCACCATGGTCACTACAGGTTGGTACAAGATCTCCGCCACGACCAAAGCGGCCGAAATGTTAGCCGGCAAACATCGAAATTGCAAACAATGATTTAACCTGGAAGTGATGATCACCCAGACCAGCCAGAGAGTTTGATCAACTGCGGCAACAACACTAGCCGGAGACATAAAGAATACAAGGCAGATTGTTTGATTGATTGGTCGGTTACAGTAGTTGTTTGTTTATTCATTTGCTTGTTTGACGCTTCGTTTACTTTTTTGGTTGAATTTGCTTCGATTTGTTTGGTTGCTAAGTTATTTGATTAGGTTTATTAATTATATCTGCCCAAATTTGCTTCATTTTACACAGATAATTAGGTAGATAGATAGATATAGATAGGTAGGGAGGTAGCGAGGTAGCGAGATAGATTGTTTGTTTTTAGGTTTTGTTTTATGTATATTTGTAGCCCTACCTTTAGTGTCCGTTCTGATGTGCTCCCTTGTATGAACCAGAAGATTTACAAGGCACTGCGCCGCAGCACTCATCAAGGGCGGAAAGTGAAAGACAGAAGGTGTTTCCTGTGAAACAAGCACGGCTGCAGAAAGACACATGAACCAACGATACTACATGATACTACACCCAATGTTCCCATCAGGAAACCCCTATGTTTTGAATATATGTTCTATTTGATGGTTAAAGCAAGCAGGCTTTCCGGCAGAGATTTTTTTTTTTTTCGATTCATCTAAGGCAATACCCCGTATTACCATGTATTACTTGTGGCCCACTTCATCATGTTGATGCTTGAATTCCCGTCGTTCATATGGTTAAATCCCCTGACGTCACTGGAGGTTTTGATCTCAACCAGTTCGTCACCACTACACCTACCACAACAAGCCTTGAAGAGGTTGCTCAGGTGTCCCTGCTAGCCATCTGGGGAAATCTTGGATGGGCACTTTCGTAACTTTAGTACTTTAAGATTTTGCTTCAAATGGAGGCAATGGACACACATGGGGACAAATACAAATGCATGTGTAATTCTACATGCATATAACAATATATAACATATTCTCACCAGAAAAGATTTTCATGGGTTGCAAGGATGTAATGTTGGCCATATGGCCATTAAAAAATCGACATGGGGAAGATGGATGATAGGAAGGAATGCGGTTTTGGAGAAAGCGATTTCAGTGTTGGCCATCCAGTGCAGCACCAGTTCAGCACGAGTCATCAGCAGCTGAGCTCACCACTACCAGTATCATGGTCCAAAGCACACATGTTTGCCATTTTTTTCGAATGAAGACCCTGATCTTTCACAGTATGAACCTCCAGTTCATTCTTAATGCCCCTATAGTTGATTTAATATGGTAACCCCGAATGCAATTTGAAGCTTCAGAAGGTGTGCTGAAGGTTGATGGCTTGAGTCGCCCACATACTTAGATTCTGCGTTTTTGTTTGGGATCTTTTTGGGTTTAGACTTGCCCTGTATCAACTTTGGGCGCGACTGAAGGCCACCCAGATATGGGAGAAGATCAAGAATGATAGGAGTGAAAAGGATACGGAGAGCGAGAAGTTCATGTCGCCCGGATGAGAAACGGGAGATTTGAGGTGATTCACCAACAATATAGCGAACACCCATATGTATATATATATATATATATAATTTAATATAGACTGTGCCTGATATATATATATATATATATATATACTATATTTATCCCATCTCATCTCATCGTATCCTGTCCTATCCTATTCGTTCCATTGGTAAACCTCTATCAAACTAGTCAATCTAACCAATCTTTTCTGTATATCTATCTATCCCATCCATGCATCCAGCTATTTGTCTATCTATGTAGTTCTCTTTTCAGTATGATGCTGCTGAAACTATTCCTCTAATTGCAAGGCAGTGCCTATGAGACCATTTGTTGATGAACGTTCATAGCTGTTTTCTTCTCTCAGGATAGGGGCGCGCATACAGAGGGATACTCATAGGGGGGTTATTGGGTTGTAGCCCATCATTAAATAAAATTCCAAAACATTCCAGACCATTCCATTTCTTTTTTTTTTTGTGGCGGTTTTGTTTATTTTTTGAATTTTCTGGAATCTGTTGTGTTGGCGTTTTTTTGAATTTTCTGGACTTTTTGAATGCTTTGTTTTTTTTTTGAATGTTGTGTTTTTTTGGAACGTTTGGAATGTTCAAACAAACCCAAAATGGTTGAGACAGCAGCGGAAGATTTCAAATGTTTTGGGATTTTTTCTGAATCTTTTAGAATGATTCAGAATTTTCAGGAATTCTGGCATGGGGGCGCAGCTCTATTTTCGTAGCCCTGCTTATTTTCGTAGCCCACAAGTCTTTTCCTAGATTTTTAAGCGAGTTTTCAGGATTTCAGAGACAGCCAGTTTTCCGCATTTCTTGGACCCATAGCTGGGAAGTCTTGTGTCAAGTCTGTTGCTTATTGTCAATGGGAATTCCAGGATCCTAAAATGGAGGTACGTTAGTACCATATTTCTCGCCATATTTTGCTGGGATATTCCCTGAAATTTAGGCTTGAAAAATAGGCCTTATATATGGTAGGTACCTCCAATCAATCGGTTCCTGAGTCATGGCCATTGATCTTGATCCCAAGGGTGGCAGAAGAAAAATTCCCCAGCCATTGGTCCTTGGGGATGGTGGTAGATGGCATTGGTTGTGTCCCAATTTCACCAGATTAGTGATTCCTATAGCTAGTTAACCATTTCAGTACTATATTTATTACATATATATATTATATATTATACATATATATAATATATATAATTATAATATATATATAATTATATAATATATATATATCTATCTGGGTAAATTATGTTGCGACCTCACTGTTCTCCCGAACCCTGGAATCATGGTTAGTGAAATATTCTAATTTAACCAGATATATATATATACACATCATGTTCTCCATCATTTTGACCCTAAGCCCCAAAAAAACACGCTCGTTTGAGGCAAGGATTGCCTGCTGGCATCCCCAAGCGCCCCGTTTGAGAAGCTGAGTTGGAGAGTGAAAAATTGACAATTGGATACGAGTTGGAGTTGGTGGCCAGCTGTTGAACCAGCAGGAAAAAAACACATAATGGGAATATAATGGAATATATTGGGGATCTATCTATCTATATCTAATCTATCTATATCTTTATCTTTATCTATTTCTATCTCTATCTCTATCTATATTATCTATCTATTTATCTATCTATCTATCTACCTATCTACCTATCTATATTATATATATTATATATATATCAACCATTGTAGGGATATAATAGGATTTAATTCGATATACCTCTGGGTAGAGATATCTACAGATACTGTATCTATAGTTTTTGGGTGGTTATAAACCAACAGTTGGACATATCTATAGTTAAGGCGGGAAAAACATGGAAAGGGTGGGTCTATTGTTATGATGTTTGTTGGCAGAGGATTATCTTTGATAAGATAGGTTGAATCGGCTTTTACTTAGGAGTTGTGAACCACCATGATGTAGCTTTAACGTGGATTGAAGGGTTTCTTTAGGCACCTTGAGTGGAACACATCAAGATGTTCACTTGATAGGAGCTCCCCTTGAAATTCCATGGTTTGGATTCTTTGGATCCCTCCGTTGGTCTCCGTTGGTCTCCGTTGGTCTCCAGGTTCGCAGCGATTTTGATGAACCGCTTTGGTTCCTTGGAGATGCTTGGCGCTTGCTTTGCTGAATGGCTTCACTGATGGGATCCACATACTAAAAGTAGGATATCTACCTAAAAGGATCTAAAAGGCATAAAATACTGACCTTATCCGTGAATTCAGCTTGCACAGATCACTTATGATCACTTCTGCGTTTTTGCAGAAGTTTGGATAATAAACACTGATTTTGCATGTGATTCTGAATCATTTCTGAGACCTTTCGCTCAGGAGAGCCTTCAACCACTTTGACTACAATCACAAGGGCAAAGTGACCCGAGGTCAGTGGCAGACCACCTTGGCCACCATTCGTTTGGATACCGAGGACCCAGCTGCGTTGAAGTCAGGCGAAAATCCAGATGTCAGTTGAAAAACCTGTTGAGCATGGCATTTTTACCCTATGGATCCAAGTATACCTTCCTAGGAGTTGTTTGGGGTATGATTTGGAGGGTTAAGTACCTTCTCAGGAGGTGTTTGGATCCATAGGGTATACTGCATATATATATATTATATATATATATACATTTCAGGAGTATATTCAGAAAACTTTTTTTTTTTGGTGGGGGAGTCCATTCATCACCAAATTTGCGTCGAAGGGTATTGATGATTTATGATGATTCACTTCTGCGTGGGGGAGGGCCAGCATCCCACGTGTTCGGAAACATTTTCTTATGGCCTCTGGAAAGTCGATGCGTGAAAGTCAAGCCATTGAGAATATGGGGCTGGTTGCTTATCATGTTATATAAATATAACTGTTTTCCTATAAATCCACTGGAAAAATGTTTAAACATATAGGTACCCTGTGGGGTAAACTAACATAGATGTCGAAAGTCCATGGTTTTGCTGGGAACATGGTCTACAAATGGTGGGTTTTTTACATCTATATTTGTTTACAGGAGGGTAATAACCTTAAGTCTTGCAAGCAGCAACTGCTGCACCACAGGAAATGGTTGGCATGCACAACAAAAAGCTCTTCCGTCAGATCAGCCTAGTTGCTAGCGGGAAGGCCGGAAATGCGCATCCCAAGAATATATAAATCGTTCAAGACTTGGCAAACCATGTGCCTGTGTATTACAAAAAGAAATATCTACATGTATTCACGTCGCTTCGCGACGGCAACCGCCCGCACCGCATCGTTGGGCAGCCGCTCGTAACTGCCAATGATGTCGGCCATTGAGACCAAAAACATCCGAAAGTACTGATTGTCGGAAAAAAAACGCGAAGAATTTGATAGCCATGTATAGCGGACCAACGCAGTTCAAAAAATAACGAAAAACATGAAAAAACGGCGAAATTGCTGTTATTTACCGTGTTTTTGCGCGGTGAGAAGCAGAAACCACTGCAAATACCATGGTTTTTGAGGGTCAGGTGGCCAAAAACACTGTAATTTACAGTGTTTTTTTAACCAACGTCAAAAAACACTGGTATTTACGATGTTTTCATTCACACCGTAACATAAAACAGCGTAATTTACGAGGTTTTTGGAAGTTTTGAAGCTAGCCGTCAAGCATGCAGAAAACAGAAAAACACTGTAAAAACCAGTGTTTCTGCTATCACAAAACGACGAAAATCAGTCCGAAAACGGGTCCAAAAACTCAAAAATCCGCCTCCGGGCCCGGCCACCTGCGGAACCGCAAAAAAAGATGTTGCAAACCAAAAAATTGAGGTCAAAAAGTTGAAAAACACGGTTTTTTTCACTTTTCGCTTGCCGATTTTGGACGGGCGCGTTCACGAACAGGTGTCTTCCGTACTGTTTTTTACAGTGTTTTTTGAAGGCGAGCGTCACGACCTATCAAAAACAGGAGGTTTTGGCCGAAAAATGCCCCCCCCCCCCCAGGGTAAACCTGTAACCTTTTACGAGTGCCATCCGGAAGATCACGCCCCAGCACCTTCGGTGCGGGCGGATTTATTTATGTATGCCTATGTATGTAAATATTTAGATAATTAAATAAATAGATAAACAAATTATATGTATTATGCTGTGTATATATATATATATGCACCTTATTCGCATATGAACGAACTATCGGGCAGGATATTGTCTCATGCGTTGCGTGAACTAGACATTGTCGTTTACCGCAGGCTTGACACTTTACTGTTTGGGATGCTGACCTGCCTGACCAACCAGACATTTACTGGTAATGTGGGTAACCCAACAATAAACCAATGACTGGGGATGGTTGATTATTGTGTCTACACAATTTACATCCAATTTTACACCAGCAACTGGCACCCTTCTGGCAGTAGCCGTTTAGAAGTTTAGCAATCATGTCCCTCCAAAAAGTCACTTTTTCAGCCAGATTTTTCAACTGGAGAGTTGTGCAAACAACATGCTGGATGATTGGATTGCTCATATGAATCATTTTTTTCCAGCAGCTGGTGGCACAAAATTCGTCACCATTTGCTCATCTCCCAGATCTCCCCAGATGGTCCTGGCTGCCTGGTCCAGGCTTCCCTGGAAATCACGTTGGATCAGTGGATGATCTTCTTTGAAGTGGAACTCAAAGACACGGCCTGGATCCCAGCAGGGGATGTCCATGGGACGATGGGACGAAGGGCACCTGGGATTTGTTTTCGTTTTTCGGTGAGGAAACAACAACACCTATAGCCACAAAAAGAGAATTTGGTAGACATCCTCCTAAAATGAAACCAAATAATGGTAAAATCATCCGTTTCTATTTCTATCGTATATGGGCCACTGGTTGCTGAAATTTGCCATTACCTTAGACTTTTGAAAGGTTGTGGATGTGTGGAGTGGAGGCTCTGAGCTCTTCTTTTCTGCTTGATGAATTGAAATCTCTGTGCGCGGGCTTACATCACCAGGTTGCTTTCTCATTTTTTATTTCCATTGGGGCTGGCTGGTCCAACCCCCATATTCTTCACAGTGTCGATAAATTCCTTTAATGTTTGGGAATGATTAAAGAGATGGTACCCTATTGTGAGAAATTTCTTGCTCCTAATTCAGTCACATGCTAATTGTTGGGGGGAACTCTATTGTGAGATTTTTTTTTCAGATTTTTTCATTTTTTTAATTATTTTTTATTCTTTCAATTATTCTTTATTTTATTTTTATTATTATTTTTTTTTCAGTTTTAGATTTTTTCCAGATTATTTCATGTTTATTATTATTTTTTATTTTTTCAACTATGTTTTATTTTAATTATTTATTTATTTTTTTTATTTTTATTTTTTCAATTTTAGATTTTTCCAGATTTTTCCAAATAATTAGATGCCTTATTAAACCCTTATTAAAAAACAGCACTCAGATAATTTTTCAAGGGGGTACCTCATGAGTGGCTCAGTTACTCAATAATATAATTGTTTGGATGGTACTCTATTGTGAGCACCAACTTTTGGGAGTGAAAAAAAAAACGAAACCCTTTCTCCACCTTTCTTTGGGTAAAGCTGGTCCTGTTACTTTAGAAAGCCTTATTTATGCTAAAGCTTTAAAATGCAAGGTTTTCCAAATAATTAGATGCCTTATTAAACCCTTATTAAAAAACAGCATGCAGACAATTTTTCAAAGGGGTACCTCATGAGTGGCTCAGTTACTGAATAATATAATTGTTTGGATGGTACTCTATTGTGAGCACCAACTTTTGGGAGTGAAAAAAAAAGCAAAACCCTTTCTCCACCTTTCTTTGGGTAAAGCTGGCCCCTTTACTGTAGAAAGCCATAGTTGTGTTAAAACTTTAAAATGCAAGGCTTTCCAAATAATTAGATGCCTTATTAAACCCTTATTAAAAAACAGCATCCAGACAATTTTTCAAAGGGGTACCTCATGAGTGGCTCAGTTACTGAATAATATAATTGTTTGGATGGTACTCTATTGTGAGCACCAACTTTTTGGAGTGAAAAAAGAAACGAAACCCTTTCTCCACCTTTCTTTGGGTAAAGCTGGTCCTTTCACTTTAGAAAGCCATAGTTGTGTTAAAACTTTAAAATGCAAGGTTTCCCAAATAATTAGATGCCTTATTAAACCCTTATTAAAAAACAGCATCCAGACAATTTTTCAAGGGGGTACCTCATGAGTGGCTCAGTTACTCAATAATATAATTGTTTGGATGGTACTCTATTGTGAGCACCAACTTTTGGGAGTGAAAAAAAAAAGCAAAACCCTTTCTCCACCTTTCTTTGGGTAAAGCTGGCCCCTTTACTGTAGAAAGCCATAGTTGTGTTAAAACTTTAAAATGCAAGGCTTTCCAAATAATTAGATGCCTTATTAAACCCTTATTAAAAAACAGCATCCAGACAATTTTTCAAAGGGGTACCCCATGAGTGGCTCAGTTACTGAATAATATAATTGTTTGGATGGTACTCTATTGTGAGCACCAACTTTTTGGAGTGAAAAAAGAAACGAAACCCTTTCTCCACCTTTCTTTGGGTAAAGCTGGTCCTTTCACTTTAGAAAGCCATATTTGTGTTAAAGCTTTAAAATGCAAGGTTTCCCAAATAATTAGATGCCTTATTAAACCCTTATTAAAAAACAGCATCCAGACAATTTTTCAAGGGTGTACCTCATGAGTGGCTCAGTTACTGAATAATATAATTGTTTGGATGGTACTCTATTGTGAGCACCAACTTTTGGGAGTGAAAAAAAAGTGAAAAAAATACTTTACTTCGTGTGATCCCCACCATGACATTTATACATTTTCTTACTGGCAAATCTTCTGGCATTCTATCTGACATATCTTCTGACATTCTATTTGACATTCTATCTGGCATATCTTCTGGCATATGATCTGGCATATCTTCTGGCATATCTTCTGGCATTCTATCTGGCAAATCTTCTGGCATTCTATCTGGGATATCTTCTGGCACTCTATCTGACATATCTTCTGGCATTCTATCTGGCATATCTTCTGGCATATATTCTGACATATCTTCTGGCATTCTATCTGGCATTCTATCTGGCATATCTTCTGAAATATCTTCTGGCATATCTATCTGGCATATCTTCTGGCATATTTTCTGGCATTCTATCTGGCAAATCTTCTGGCATTCTATCTGGCATTCTATCTGGCATTCTATCTGGCATATCTTCTGGCATATCATCTGGCATTCTATCTGGCATATCTTCTGGCATATATTCTGACATATCTTCTGGCATTCTATCTGGCATTCTATTTGGCATTCTATCTGGCATATCTTCTGGCATATCTTCTGACATTCTTTCTGACATTCTTTCTAACTTTCTTCTGCACATTCTTTGTCCCATATCTTCCTACATGAGGTCCGGCAAGGAACACTTGGCGTGGATACTCGCGGTTGAGGTCCGGCAGGGAACACTGGGCGCGGATGGTCGTGGTTGAGGTCCGGCAGGGAACACTGGGCGAGGATGGTCGTGGTTGAGGTCCGGCAGGGAACATTGGGCGTGGATGGTCGTGGTTGAGGTCCGGCAGGGAACACTGGGCGTGGATGGTCGTGGTTGAGGTCCGGCAGAGAACACTGTGGATCGCGGGTCGCAGTTGAGCAAGGACGACGAGGACGACGAGGAGGAGGAGGAGAGGAGGACGAGGCAGGAGGAGGCGGAGGAGGAGGAGAAGGAGGAGGAGGAGAAGGAGGAGGAGGCAACTGACATAAAATCTAACAACCCTCACCTGGCAGGTGGGGAACAAAACCCTTTCTCCACCTTTCTTTGGGTAAAGCTGGTCCCTTTACTTTAGAAAGCCATAGTTGTGTTAAAACTTTAAAATGCAAGGCTTTCCAAATAATTAGATGCCTTATTAAACCCTTATTAAAAAACAGCATGCAGACAATTTTTCAAAGGGGTACCTCATGAGTGGCTCAGTTACTGAATAATATAATTGTTTGGATGGTACTCTATTGTGAGCACCAACTTTTTGGAGTGAAAAAAAAAAACGAAACCCTTTCTCCACCTTTCTTTGGGTAAAGCTGGTCCTTTCACTTTAGAAAGCCATAGTTGTGATAAAACTTTAAAATGCAAGGTTTCCCAAATAATTCGATGCCTTATTAAACCCTTATTAAAAAACAGCATCCAGACAATTTTTCAAGGGTGTACCTCATGAGTGGCTCAGTTACTGAATAATATAATTGTTTGGATGGTACTCTATTGTGAGCACCAACTTTTGGGAGTGAAAAAAAATGAAAGTAAATTACTTTACTTCGTGTGATCCCCACCATGACATTTATACATTTTCTTACTGGCAAATCTTCTGGCATTCTATCTGACATATCTCCTGACATTCTATTTGACATTCTATCTGGCATATCTTCTGGCATATGATCTGGCATATCTTCTGGCATTCTATCTGGCAAATCTTCTGGCATTCTATCTGGCATATCTTCTGGCACTCTATCTGACATATCTTCTGGCATTCTATCTGGCATATCTTCTTGCATATATTCTGACATATCTTCTGGCATTCTATCTGACATATCTTCTGGCATATATTCTGACATATCTTCTGGCATATCTTCTGGCATATCTTCTGGCATATCTTCTGACATATCTATCTGGCATATCTTCTGACATATCTATCTGGCATATCTTCTGGCATATTTTCTGGCATTCTATCTGGCAAATCTTCTGGCATTCTATCTGGCATTCTATCTGGCATATCTTGTGGCATATTATCTGGCATTCTATCTGGCATATCTTCTGGCATATCTTCTGACATTCTTTCTGACATTCTTTCTAACTTTCTTCTGCACATTCTTTGTCCCATATCTTCCTACATGAGGTCCGGCAGGGAACACTTGGCGTGGATACTCGCGGTTGAGGTCCGGCAGGGAACACTGGGCGTGGATGGTCGTGGTTGAGGTCCGGCAGGGAACACTGGGCGAGGATGGTCGTGGTTGAGGTCCGGCAGGGAACACTGGGCGTGGATGGTCGTGGTTGAGGTCCGGCAGGGAACACTGGGCGCGGATGGTCGTGGTTGAGGTCCGGCAGGGAACACTGGGCGCGGATGGTCGTGGTTGAGGTCCGGCAGGGAACACTGGGCGTGGATGGTCGTGGTTGAGGTCCGGCAGCGAACACTGTGGATCGCGGATCGCAGTTGAGCAAGGACGACGAGGACGACGAGGACGACGAGGAGGACGAGGAGGAGGAGAGGAGGAGGAGGAGCAGGAGGAGGAGCAGGAGGAGGAGCAGGAGGAGGAGGAGGCAACTGACATAAAATCTAACAACCCTCACCTGGCAGGTGGGGAATTAAAAGTAAATTGAAATCAATTGAAAGTAAATTGAAATCCTTTCTTAAGTTGATTGACCAAAAAAATGTTGAGGGGGGGGCAAAAAAAAGTGCGAGTTATAGAGTATCCTCAAATTGTTTGGGGGGGGGCCCTCACACTAATCAGACGCAAACATTAGTTTGTTTCCCATGTTTGTTCAACTTCAAAGCGTAAAATAACACATCGCAGATGCAAGAGATACTTGCGGCCTGTTCCAGGCCGCGGAGTTCTTATTGACAGAAGATCGAGGGAGCCAAGCGCCAAAGCGCTGGCAGCAGATGAAGAAACTCCCAGTGAAGGCACGGTTTTCTGGACGTTTTATAGATGCTTAGGTCGGGGTAAGTATCCCAACATGGCCGATTTTTTTTTGAGGTCCGTGAACTATTATGATTTACCAGGTCAATGGATTAGTGAAAGGGCAAACTTAGAGGAAACCATGGATTGTTAGTACCAATTGTAGAGGTTTCCGGTAGGTTTTCACCGAAACCAATCCCATGAGTTCGGGACTTTTGGCACCTGAAAGATGGAGGTCCTGCGGTCCTGGTTGGAATGTTTGTCTTCATATTGAGGGGATTGGATTCATACACTGAAGGCGTTAAACGGATCGTTTAGGTGTTAGCTCTATTTTGGTGGGGGCCCGTCTTTTTCTTCCCCGACTTGTGATGCCCTGGGGGCGATAGACTCGGTTTTTAGTGTTTTGCCTGCACTTTTTCCATGGCTTCCTACACTTTCTTCTTCCTTCATATATTGTAGCGCACGGTGTCCCAGGCTTCCCATTGTTCTTGGATGAACTCTCTTAGAGGTGTGGCATCATGCTGCCGATGGCCTCCACTTGTCCCATGTTTCTGCACAATTTAGAGCGAGGGCTGACGAGGTACGAGGTGAATCTTTGCAATTTAAGCGAGGTGAATTAATTAAATTCAGAAAACGAGGTGGGCAGAAATTGCTTTCAAAGCATGTGCAACGAGTGAAAAAAACTTTTCGGGCTCCAGAAAGTTTTTTTGTTCCCATCAGAGTGAAAAAAAATAGAAAATTAAGGGTGCATTCAGACCCGTGAAAAAAGAAAACTTTCTGGAGCCCGAAAAGTTTTTCCCGAGAGCGCCTGCGAAGGGTTCTTCGTAAAAAAGCAGCCGTTATACTAGATCTTCACTCCTTCACATCTGCTGATCTAGATCTTCACTCCTTCACATCTGCTGATCTAGATCTTCACTCCTTCACATCTGCGGATCTAGATCTTCACTCCTTCACATCTGCTGATCTAGATCTTCACTCCTTCACATCTGCGGATCTAGATCTTCACTCCTTCACACCTGCTGATCTAGATCTTCATACCCTCACACCTGCAGATCTAGATCTTCACACCTTCACATCTGCAGATCTAGATCTTCAACACTCACATCTGCAGATCTAGATCTTCACCCCTTCACACCTGCATATATCTAGATCGTCACACCCTCGCACCTGTCAGATCTAGATCTTCACGCCCTCGCACCTTGCAGATCTAGATCTTCAGACACCTTCACACCTGACTGCAGATCTAGATCTTCACACCCTCACACCTGCAGATCTAGATCTTCACACCTTCACACCTGCAGATCTAGATCTTCACACCTTCAACGATCTGCGATCTGCATCATCATCACCTTCACATCTGCCAGATCTACATCTCACACCCTCAAATCTGCAGATCTACATCTTCACACCTTCACCTCTGCAGATTCTCTCGCTCTTCTTCTAATTCTCTCTTAAGGAAGGCGGAGGGCGGTGCCGCCGGAAGCGCCACGAAACGCAACCCTTTCGCACGAAATGGACGTTGGACGTCAAAAACTGAGGAAAAATTGCGACTTTGAGGTGTCAATCGCAACCCTTACGCACGAAATGGACGTTGGACGTCAAAAACTGAGGAAAAATTGCGACTTTGAGTTGTCAATCGCAACCCTTACGCACGAAATGGACGTTGGACGTCAAAACCTGAGGAAAAATTGCGACTTTGAGTTGTCAATCGCAACCCTTACGCACGAAATGGACGTTGGACGTCAAAAACTGAGGAAAAATTGCGACTTTGAGGTGTCAATCGCAACCCTTACACACGAAATGGAGGTTGGACGTCAAAAACTGAGGAAAAATTGCGATTTTACTTGGTCAATCGTAACCCTTTCGCACGAAATGGACGTTGGACGTCAAAAACTGAGGAAAAATTGCGATTTTACTTTGTCCATTGTAACCCTTTCGCACGAAATGGACGTTGGACGTCAAAAACTGAGGAAAAATTGCGATGGATGCTTTCGTTTCTGTACAAGTGTCTGTGTGTAAAAGCGTCTGTGTGTAAAAGCGTTTGTGTTTGAAAGCGTGTGTGCGTGTGTAAAAAGCATCTGCGTGTAAAAGCGTCCTGTGTAAAAGCGTTTGTGTGTCAACGCGTCTGTGTGTAAAAGCGTTTGTGTGTGAAAGCGTTTGTGGGTGAAAGCGTGTGTGCGTGTGTAAAACGTATCTGCGTGTAGAAGCGTCTGTGTGTAAAACCGTCTCTGTGTAAAAGCTTTTGTGTGTAAAAGCGTCTGTGTGTAAAAGCGTCTGTGTGTAAAAGCGTTGCGTCTGTGTGTAAAAGCGTCTGTGCGTAAAAGTGTTTCTGTGTAAAGGAGTTGTAGAGGTTACCAAGTACCTCTTTCCTGGGCTCAGACGTGGACGTAGAGACAAGATGCATTGTGCACAGAGTGAACATCCATATTCTTATATGTACGCTGAATGTTCGTGAAACAAGTGAGGATTGGCAAACGGGTATCTGTAACATTTCTTGCACTTCTCGAGGTTTCTGTAGGGTCAGTCCATGAGATCTCGAGAATTGCAGTGTTTGTTTACGATGCAGTGGATCTATGTGATGTATAGCACGAAAAACATATATGTGTTGTTTTCATTCAAATTATGAGCAGTGGACAAAAAAAAAAAATTCGGGAATCACTGCACCGTTCAATTTTGTCTGGGCCGCTCGGCAATGGCCGCGTGGAGACCGCCGGAGGATGAGGAAGTGGCATGGGTGTTGGAAGTTGTGGGGTGCAAGCGATCTCATCTTGGAGACATGTCGGAGGATGAGTTCCGATACATCTATTCAAATGAATATCATGTGGTTTTAGTCGGCGATTCACGGGACCCATTTGCTTTTTTTTGGAAGTGTGTTGATTTGATGTGTTCATTGCAAGCTTCACTGTTCAGTTTGCAGGTCTCTGCGACAATGGTGCCCATGCCCAGTGTCAAACTTAGCAATTGTGCCCTGAGCGTCGAAGTCGGAGAACGATTTCTTGGCATTGGATTGTGCGAGTGCGTAGCTCACTGCATCTTTCTCACTGCATATTCAAATGAATAACATGTGGTTGTAGTCGGCGATTCACGGTACACAATTTTTTTGAAGTGTGTTGATTTGATGTGTTCATTGTAAGCTTCACCGTTGACCAGCCTTCAGTTTGCAGGTCTCTGCGACAGTGGTTCTTTGCCATGTCAAACTCATGAGTGGTGTTCTCAGTTTGGAAGTCAGAGAACAACTGCTTTGCAGTGGATTGTGCAACTTTGCAGCGACAAGCATAGTTTACCTCTTTATCTCTTTCCTGGGCTCAGAGGTGTACGTAGAGACAAGATGCATTGAGCACGGAGTGAACATCCATATTCTTATATGTACGCTGAATGTTCGAGAAACAAGTGACGATTGGCTAACAGGTATCTGTAACATTTCTTGCACTTCTCGAGGTTTCTGTAGGGGCTGTCTGTGAGATCTCGAGAATTGCATTGTGACAATGTCAGTGTTTGTTTACGATGCAGTGGATCTATGTGATGTACAGCAAAAAAAACCTTGAAATGCATGAGCAGTGGACAAAAAATGATACGGGAATCATTATACCGTTCAATTTTGTACCGTTCAATTTTGTGTTGAAATCAAACATGTCATGGCATTGTTTTGAAAGCAAGAGAACAAATATGCATGTCTCGGAATTTTTCAATGCAAAATGTTTGTTTGAAGTCACGCGCCGGTGACGTTTGTGGACGTTCTGTGGTCGCTGTTTCATTTGCTGAAGGGAATGTCTGTGCGAATGGAGCATGCGACCGCGTCATCCGCGTCGTCCGATGCCGTGGAACTTCGGTTGCAGGAGCTGCATAGCAGTGCTGTGACCAGGGGTCGCGAATGGCTCCAGGATGCCCTGGCCCAAATTTCCGTAATGGAGCTTCGCAGAATGGCACGGGCTCGGAATGTTGGCCGTGGACCGGACAAGAAGTGGTTTGCGGTTGAAGAGCTGCGCGCTCGATTGCTGGATGTCTTGGCACCTCCAACGCAGGTCCGGTGGGGCAGACTAGGATTGTGACGAAAGCTGCATGTTTGTCACATGGTGGAATGTTGTGGGATGATTTTTGTTTTGTGGTGGCAGTGTGTCGGATGCTGTAGGTGGACGAGGCATCGGCTGCCAAATTGGAAGAACTTCGCCTTGGAGCTGTTTCACAGGGCAAGGAGTGGCTCAGTCGTGCTTTGTACGAAATGCGAAAAGAGGAGCTTCGAGTCCTGGCTGCTGCGGGTGGTGTGGAGACACGATCCGGCAAGGCTTGGCTGCCTGTAGCAGAACTGCGCAACTCGTTGATGAAAGTCTTGGAACCTTCCACGGAGGTTGGGTTCAACCAAAAAATGTGTTGTGACATGAGTTGTTTTTGTGACCGAATTTGAATGTTTGTCA